CAACATGGATGGAACTGGAGAGCAGATAAATACCACACGATTTCACTCATTTGTGGAATATAAGGAACAACATAATCTGATGAACAAGGACTGATCCAGAGACGGAGAGGCATTGATTGGATTGTCGGGCTTTGGAGGGAGGGTGGGGGAGGGGAGGGTAAAGGGGAAAGAGCAACCAAAGGACTTACATGCAGGCATAGAGGCCTAACCAATGGACACGGACAACGGGGGGGTGGGGGTGGTGGTGGAGGGTGATGTGGGGACAGGGACACATATGTAATATCTTAATCAATAAAAAATATATTAAAAAAAAAAGTGAGTGGAGGACATTACTCAAGATTAAAAGAATATCAGAGACATGAAAATCAAATGTGGAGTTTAGTGGGATCCAGATTGAAATAAACAAATTATACAAATACTTAAGGTAATCAGGGAAATTTGCATGTATACTGGGTGTTAGATAATATGGTATGAGAATTAATTCTGCGTTAGAACTGTGGTTACATCTTCTGTTAAGTGTTTTAAACAGCTAGTGATGTATACTAAAGTAATGACAGGTAAAACAGTATGTCTGCTTTAAAAATATTCCAGGAAAAGAAGTAGACAGAAGGTACTTCAAATAAGACTGGCAAAATGTTCATAGCAGAAGCTGGGTGATGGGGACACAAGAGTTCATTATTCTACTTACTTCTATGTCTGCTATTTGGAATTTGTTTCAAACTAACAAAAACAAAGGAGCAATGACATATAAAAGACACGAAGAAACCAGACTAAAGTTACCATCTGCATCACTGAAAGCAATCTAGAGTGTTTTCTGAAGTAGCCTTCATTTACATATGCCCCTACAAACAGAAAAACAAAGAACCAAATTTTATAGAATTTAAAGTAAAAAAAAAAAGGAGAGTAGGGATTCAGTAATAATGCATTTCAATAAAACTAACTGTATCATCTCTGGCAAGCCACTCACTCAGTCTCTCAAGTCTGTTTACTTGTGTTAAAATAGGGTTAACTCCCACTTCACATTATGGAAAATTTAAATTAAATTAAAGTGCTCTTTTTTTTCATTCACTAATTCAAAAACTTTTCAGTAAATAGCTATCACGTATCATGTACATAACATAAGATAGTTTTACTGTAAATGATTAAATATGGATTAAAATGAATAATCAAATTCCAGTTGAATCTAATTTAAACTTACCATTAAGGCTAAAAAAGTCACATGTTTTAAGAGAGGCTTCATAATTAGTAACAAGTTCCTGGATCACAGAAATCTGTTAAAGAAACATAGTTTTAAATTTTTTAAATATTTCATTAAAGGTATTTATATTTATTATAAATTAAATTAGATTTGGAAACAATATACAGATTATTTCAAAATTAAAAATTAACTAAGCTACTAAAGTGTCTGCTCTTCCCAGTTCCTATGTGGGGAAAAGTGAGAAAACACACACACACACACACACACACACACACACACTGATCTCTTTATTAATAATAAAACATAATCTCATTAATTTCTCATCTCATTAAGTAGTTTCAGGTTTTGAAGGACAAACTATTATTAGTTATTACAAAACCTTTATTCCCCCAATAAACACATCTGTATAATTTATTACTAAGTTAATTTATTTGCTTTTTGTTTCTGTTTTAATGTGAAGTTGTAGTCATATTCAAATTTTCTAAAATGTCACTCATAAAAAAGTCAAATAAAATTGATCCAAATTATACAATGAGTTTGTCAAAGAGGAGGTTAAGTAAACTAGATGTTTAAGCTACCATTGTTTTTAGTGATCACTTTAATAAACAGATTTGAATTTCAATGCTACTCAGGTAGAACAAGAATATTATAAACTGCACTATAAATGTGCTATGTCCTAAAAGTGCCAAATGAAAAGTTACATGAATTAGAAGTGGCAGTAGACATTAAATGTACCTATTGGTTTTAAATGCCTATTAATGTTAACTATTTAGAATAAGTTGGAAAATAATCATCTTATTTGTGAACTCAAAAAAATAAATAAATAAAGGTCAAAAGTGAAGGAATTTCCATAGCAACTATACCTTTTTACAACAAAGTTATGTGTGCATACTTTCTGTCTGACTTATATAGTATACTAGAGGCCCAATGCACGAAATTCATACAAGAGTAGGTCTTCCTTCTCCTGGCTGCCGGCACTGGCTTGCCTCCAGCACCCTGGACTCGGGCTTCCCTCACAGCACTGGCTTTCTAATTAGCATATTACACTTTTATTATTATAGATATGGTTTGGGGATTGTAAAGTTTTGTGTAATGAAATCTGTTATAATGTCAAAAATAAAAGTGAAGGAAAACCATTAAAACTTTTAATAGTGTCTGACCAATATGGTATTATTTTGATAATTCAAAAGTTTTTTAGTTTTATAAAGTAGGATGCTACTAATACCACCAGAAAGAAAGAATATACCAGGCAGGGTAACAATAACAATAATAAGCCACTAATTGTCACAAGTGCTTTAAACATGCAAAGGAAAATTAAAATTAGCTGTAAGTACAAAATGGAAGAACCAGAATTAACCCAAGCAACATGGCTCCAGAGGTTAGCTTTTTAACTACTCTGCTATATTGGTCACCAATGTCTCCAGCACACTTATTACTAAAGGGCAATTCTTGACTCACAGAGTTACAGTAAGACTAGAAACCAAAAACTCAAAATGGATTAAGAACCTAAATATAAGACCTACCACAACAAAACTCTTAGGGAGGAAAAACAGGACAAAAAAGCTTCCCAATATTGGATTTGGCAATGCTTTCTTGTATATGCCACCAAAGGTATTGGTAACAAACAAAACAAAACAAAAATAGACAAACTTCATGGAATTTTTAAAATTTTGTGCATCAAGAGTCTCTACCCACAGAGTAAAAAGGCAACCCACAGAATGGGAGAAAATATTTGCAAATCATGTATTAATAAAAGATTACTATCCAGAATATACAGAGAACTCATAAAAACAAACAAAAAAACCAATCTGATTTAAAAAACGAGACAAGTACTTCCAGAAATGATATATAAATAACCAATAAGCACATGAAAAGAGGCACACCAATAATCATTACAGAAACGCAAATAAAAACTACAATGAGATACAACTTCACACCCAGGAGGAATGGCTAAAATAAAACAAATAAAAACAACATGATGAGGATATAAAGATTTTGGAACACTTTTGCACAGTTGGTAGGAATGTAAAATAGTATAATTGTTACAGAAAACATGGCACTACCTCAAAAAAATTAAAAACAGAATTACAAAATGACCCAGCAATTCTATTTCTGAGTATATTCATCCCAAAAATAAAAGCAGGATCTAGAAGAGAATTATTCACAATAACCAAAACGTGGAAGCAACCCAAGTACCTATCAATGAATGAATAGATAAGCAAAATATGGTATGTACATAACATGAGATATTTTCAGCCTTAAAAAGGAAAGAAAGTTTGCAATATTCTAAACATGAATGAATCTTGAGGACATTATGCTAAGTGAAATAAGCCAGGTACTATATGATCCCACTTATATGAGCTACCTAACCCTACTCAAAATGATAAAGACAGAAAGCATAATAATGTTTGTCAGGGGCTGGGAGGAGGGGAAAATTGAAAGTTATTGTTTAATAGGTATTGAATGTCAATTCTACAAATTAAAAAAGATATAGGGATAGAGGATGACGATGATTACACAAAAATGTGAATGTACTCACTACCACTGAACTATACACTTAAATGGTTAATTGTAAAGAGTGCCTAGGAAGGCACATGAGCTGACTGTCGGCTGAGTCCAGTGGCGTCTGCAAAACCACGTCCTGGAAACATACCATGCCAGAGGCAGGTATGTTGTCAGCCTGACCCTTAGAGCTCAGGTGCCAGGGGGTGGGTTTCATTATCTATGTTCAGCCTGGTGCAAGGAATGGACACATTATCTAAGTTCAGCCTGGTGCAAGGAATGGACACAATTATCTGGGCTCAGCCAGGAGTGACAATTACAAAGAAGACACAAGAATGAAGAATTATAGCTTGATCTTTAACCATGATTTCACATAATTTCCTTTGTCTTAAACTCTAGTAAAACTTCCTGCACCAGATCTGGGTCACAGTGACCCTCCATCAGAGGGCAGCTATCCCACCTGGTCCCAGTAGGGATACTGTCTCTGTGTCTCTTTTTTTCCCCCTTTTCTCAGTCCCCAGCCGCCCCTACTCAGGATTCATCTGCTCTCTAGCCTTGCTGATCGCGGTAGAGACAAAACTTACAGTTAATTGTAAATTTTATGCTAAAATTTCACCACAATAATTTAAAAAATAAAAAAACCTCATGGTTCTTAAAGTGTGGTTCTCAGATCGTTAATGTCATCAACATTAGCATCACCTGGTAATCTATTAGAGATGAAAATTATTGGACCACACCCCAGATATACAACTCTGGGATGAGCAGTAACCTGTTTTTAGGAAGACCTCTAGTTCAGTGGTTCTCAACCTGTGGGTCACAACCTCTTTGGGGGTCAAACGACCCTTTCACAGGGGTTGCCTAAGACCATCGGAAAACACATATATAATTACATATTGTTTTTGTGATTAATCACTATGCTTTAATTATGTTCAATTTCTAACAATGAAAATACATCCTGCATATAGATATTTACATTACGATTCATAACAGTAGCAAAATTACAGTTATGAAGTAGCAACGAAAATAATTTTATGGTTGGGGGAAACCACAACATGAGGAACTGTATTAAAGGGTCACGGCATTAGGAAGGTTGAGAACTACTGCTCTAGTTAGTTCGAGTCACGCTAGAATTTGAAATCTGATGAAAATATTTCAAAAAGATTTATTATAAAGCAAAATTAAAATAGAAGTGTTTGCCCTAATCAGTATGGCTCAGTGGTAAGGGCATTGGCCCACACACTGAAGAGTCTTGTGTTTTTTTTAAATAAATAAATAAATCTTTATTGTTCAGATTATTA